AAAACAAAGCTGAACAGTGATAAAAAAAAATTACAAATCATATATGACTTTTTTTAAACGAAACTTATCTGTGTTTGTCCAACTAATAGTTCTCTTTAAATAGTTTTAACAATGACAAACTCTATTTCCTTTTAAAGAAAATTGTGTTTAGTTTCCTATGGGACAATATTTAATAACTTATATAATTTTTTTTTTAAAGTTATCAGTTCCTCTCCAAAAAAAAGTGGCTCACTTAAAAAAATACAAATCGTAAATTTCCTATTTTTCTGCTGGAAATCGGACAATTTTTTTGTAGATCTTCAAGTCTACTATCAAACTTTTAAATACTTCTAATTACGGGATTGTGTAATCCAAAAAATTATGCAATATTTATGTTGGTTTTAGCAATGCTAAAGATATGATAATATGATAAGAAATTTTTATTTTTAAATATTACTCTGATATTGTTTGAAAAAAAAAACAACGCATTTCTGTCTCTCTTCTTATATATTTTTCTATAGTTACATACATGGACAATAATTTAACAGTAGAGTATTGCTTCTGAAATAACCTTTATTTCAAGTAACTGAAAAAAAGATAATATAATTTAATAAACAAATTGGTTAAAAAAATGAGTACGAAGTATATTATTAAATTCGTCTTCTCGATTCTTCGTATCTTCGATGAAACGTAAAACCTCAAACCGTAGAGTGCTGCTATCTGCACTTACATTCTTGTCCCAACTACTCTGTTACTAACTGCGAAGTTTTAATATTAAACATTTATTAAGAAGTGGTACAATCAAGTCATCGACAAATAAAAAATCAAGTCCACAGCTTGAAAGTATTGTACAAACAAAATTGTATGCCTAACTAACAAAATATTCATACTACAGTAAATTGTAACTTTGAAGTTCAGTTTCTCAAAATTATAGTAAATGCAGTTAGAACCTTTTCAAACCATGTAATTTCAAATGGAATATTCATAGAAAATATGTGAAAACTTATATTTTTTATACATATTGATATAGCAAATATAGAATTTTCATAACTTACAATAACTTGAAGGTTTGTTAACTTTAAAAAAAATTAATTTCTTCTGAAATTAGGTTGTAAATGAAAATTTTGTATTTTTTTTTATAGTTAATTTAATAAAATTAATGTAATTTCATATATTTTATATAGCATTGTCTATTATTTTAGTCTGAAAATTATTTCGTCATTCAATGATGCACTCATTGAACAAACAAATCGACTCGTTCGATATATTATCTTCATTGTCAAACAAATAGGAAAAGTCAACATAAAAACTACGTTCGTTGCAGTCGTTCCTTGTTTGTTCGATAATGAGATTTAGTGAACAAAAACATATTATCTATTGTAGGATTTAAGTGAATCATTGTCAAAGTATACAAGACCATGCAACTCAACCGATTGAGTTCCTGTTAGGAAATAAAATTGCATTTTGAGCTGCAATCATAGGCGCAGATTTCGGAAGGGCGAGGGAAACGACTCCCCCCCCCCCAAAAGTTTTAAGTAAAAAAAAAATAATAAAATCAATCATAAATAAGCTATACGAATGAATAAAATATGTAAACTAAAATCACTTAAGAAAAGTCGATTAACTGGCTAGGTTTAGTTGTAGGTATGTAACTATTTTTTACTTTTTTATTTTTATTATGGAAATTCGCAACTGTATAATGATAAATACATATGAAATAAGTAACTTGACATGTACAACATGAAGAGAAACTACCAATTGGTAGCACTCCAATTATATTTCTATATTAGAAGGTCCCGAGGCCATCTTCTTTTCAGACGCCTCGGAGGGTTATCAAGAAGAAGCATGGTTAGAAACAAGAGGGTTCGTATGGTTCAGAAGTTTATTATGGAAGGATAAGTATCTGGATTGAGCTAAATCGGAAACATATGGTACATTAAGGTCTTTATGGATGATTTTATTTGCGATAAAGTAGGGAGCACTGAGGATTTTACGAAGGATTTTGGATTGTAGGGACTGGATACGAGAGGAATTTGATGGTTTAGTGGAGCCCCATAGCTCGATCCATATATAGCTAGTTCAAATAGGCCTTATTATAGTAATATATATGAGTCTTTGTTTAGTAAGTTTAGGGCGATTGTCTAGTAAGTGCTGCAATAGTCAAAAACGTCGAGCGGTTTCTTGTCGTTTCAGTCTATTAGGGGGGTTCCAAGTGTGTCGTTTGTCTAGGTGGAGTCCTAGGTATCGGATTTGTTCAACAGTGATAAGGGGTTATTGTTGAAGGATACTGTAGCACAGGAAGTCATAGGTTTACGACGAAGAGAACTATTTTAATACATAAATGTCACTTTCATTTAAATTGTCATTTATATTAAAAAAATATAATCTAATTCAACATATTCTAGGATTTTATTATTTAATTAACTCTCGATTTTCACATGATGTTCGTATCAGATTTTCCACGACAAATAAGGCAGACAATGAAAAACGTCGTATTTTTATTTTATATTTTGCACTGTAAGAAATCAAAGATTTTTCTCTAACTTTTTCACATTATTCATTCTCAACTGAAAAAGTTCTAAAAATGTGCCAATATTATAAATACAGCCTCTCCTCCCTCCTGTGTTTAATCTAAACGAATACTTTATGTATTCAATTGTATTTTTATTTAGATATTTTTAAATATTATATATATAATAATTGTGGGTTGACTTTAGTGAATAATTGAAGAGAAGGATGGTTGGTATGATCAGTCAAAATAAAAATATTTGTAATTAATAATTATATTTATTTTCATTTTTTTTTTATTTAGTTTCGGCTCAAAGTTAAGGCCTTCATCAGGGCTAAGAAAAAAACAGATAACAATAGGTATGAGAAACATTGAATAATAAAGAATTAAAATAAAAAAGGTGAGAGGTATAGACTAAAAAATGTAGGTAGAATAAACTTAAAAGTTAAAATTAATTAGATATGGTGAACTTTAAAGAAATATGATTGAAAATAGGTATGACAGTTTGGTTTTCGTTTGTTTTTTTACTCAATTATAATAATTTATTATCATTAATACAATTTAATTCTTCTTTTTCATTATGAATTTTATGTATTATTTCACTATAAGCAATATCGTTTTGTTTTTATAACAATTTTTATTTTTGTTATATATACATTATTATCCTTTATTTATCTATTTTTATGTATTTAATGTTTTTAATTTTTATTATCCCTGTTGAGCAAATCCGATACCTAGGACTCCACCTGAACTCGGAATCCTCATACTAGACTGAAACGACAAGAAACCGCTCGACGTTTCCGATTACTTCAGCACTTACTAGACAAACGCTCTAAACTTCCCATAAATTACAAAAGACTCATATTCTTGACTATAATAAGGCCTATTTGGACTTACGGAGTTGAGCTGTGGGGCTCCACTAAACCATCGAATTCCTCTCGCATCCAATCCTTACAATCCAAAATCCTTCGTAAAATCCTCAATGCTCCTTACTTTGTCACTAATAAAATTATCCATAAAGATCTTAATGTTCCTTATGTTTCAGATCTGGCCCAATCCAGATATCTATCCTTCCATAATAAACTTCAGAATCATCCCAACCCTCTCGTTTTTAACCTTGCTTCCTCTTCAATTCCTGATAACCCTCCGAGGCGTCTGAAAAGAAGATGGCCCCGTGATCTCCTAATGTAGTCATATCATTAGAGTGCTACCATTGGTTAGTTACTCAGCAAGTGTATTCATGTCATTATATCTATTATGTCCAAATTTACTTGATGTATTTATGTAATACAGTTGTAAATGTCATTAAGAAATAAAAAAATAATTTTTTTTTATTATATTGTAAATATGGTATGAATGTATCTTACAGCTTTAACACTCAGTACCCTTCAGTGTGGTAAAATGTATTATACCTCAATAAAATTATTTAAAAACAAAATAAAAAAGTAAAATAAAGTAGGTAGAATAATAATAGTAACAGAGCACTAAGAAATAAATAATAATAACGGCAACAAAGTACCGATTAATGAAACATAATCAAATTAAGATAACATAAAAAATTAAAAATGGTAATTACCATTTACCAAAATTAAATATAAATACTTTTAATTATTAATGTAATTAATTTTATGATGCCTGTCCACACAATGATGACCTATCTTTTAATATACTAGAATTCATCCCGTTTTATTGCATGTTTCAATTACGTATACCGTAAGATGGGGTAACTTTTGAATAGTTGTTAAAGCTTACTTTGCGAAAGTTCCGTGGTGTATACACTGTGTCGGTTCAGTCTGCAGAAACGTGCTTTGTGTAGACATGTACTGAGGAACTACCTTGAGGCAGTTTGAGAACCCTATTTCACTACACTCGTTGTGCAGTTAGGTTTTATTTATTTTCATTGCTTTTTCCAAAATTCTTGTTTTCATGAAACTTTCGCTTGTGCCTCAAGAGTAGTGTGCCGCAAGGTATTCGTTGTAGCGCAGTACATGCGGCACATTATTGCAGGCTAAACTAGCACAGTGAATCCATCACGGAATCACCACAAACTAAATTTTACCTGCTGTCTCAAAATTACCCACCCCGTCCCAAAGTTACTCCATCTTACTAAATTAGTTCTAAATATTTTCTAATTTTTCTATTTTCCAGTATATTAATTTTTTTATTTTACTGATTTTTTAAATTATTATTCCTTCTTATTATTTCATATACTGAAATAATTCAGAACAATCATATTAAAAAAATATTATATTATTTTATGGACTTTTTCAGAAAGAAGCAGATACACAAGCATCTTATATAGAACTCATGGAGGAAGCCAGGAAAGAAAGCTGGAGGATAAGGAATAAATGGAGTGTGGAATAACATGTATATAAATTATATGAATAGAACACAATTGCTCACTAATTAGTTTTTATTTCAATTTACAGAATGTTGAGAAATGTTTGATTAATTTTTTTTTTTTTTTTAGAGGTACAATCATTTTCTATCCATCCAGTATCAAGATGGTTGTTTATTGGTGAATTTCGCTCATTTTGCTAAATGCAACTACAGCAGTGATTGTGCTCGTTATAAACTGAAAAAAAAACTTTGTTAATAAAAAAATACAATATTTTTGGCAAAAATATGGAAATATAAAATTATGCATAATTTTGTATAAAATATTTTTGTTTGTTACTCTTACTTCTATAGAATTTTTCTATTCATACCGAAATATTACCACATAATTTACTCCTTTATACTCTAAACTAATCCAAAGTATTTTTTTATATAATGCAGCATAAATCCTTTGTAAGTCGCTCTTCCGTATTTAGAATATCTTTCAAAACATTAATTATTAAAAATTAAAAAAATAAATATATTTATTTAAATTTGCAGTAACATGACATAGACAACATGAACAGAAACTACTCATTGGTAGCACCCAATGAACATTTTTCATCTCGTTTAGTTTAACTTATTGTTTTGTAATTTTTTCAACTATTTTACAGCCCGTGGTATAGAACTCTTTTTATGAAACTACTAACATCCAAATGAAACTTCGTAAATAGCTTCGTGACCTCTCGTAACCTACAACTATTTTATTTACGAAAATTCTCGGAATTGGGGGGTTTACAATCCGGATATCGACAAACTTTGTTTATTTAATTAGGTTCTAAAAACTTGTAAATACTCATTTTCTTTCCACTTGAATAGTAAGATAATTCGAGCACAAATTCGAGAAAAAAGTGACCTTAACAAATATTGAGCCGTTTGGCGTGACCTACACCCCCAAAATATCTAAATAACGAGGTTGTTTAGGCCGAAAGTTCCAATATTTTTATTGGCCACCTTTTTTCTAAATTTTTTGAACAAGTTATCTTACGATCTAAGTGGAAAAGCAAATGGGCATATATAAGTTTTTTGTACCTAATTAAGTAGATAAGATTTGCCAACTTTCACATTGAAAATGCCCCAATTCCAAGAGTTTTCATAAATAAAATATTTATAGGTTACGATGAGATGATTCACAAAGTTTCAGGCGGATGTTAATAATTTGATAAAAAGGGGTACCACGGTCTATTATTTTTAACATTTATTTGTATAAACTCCATATCGATTTAGCCTTCCTTGATACTTTTTAATCATATTTTCGTTAAATTAACTCTCTTGATTTTTATTAATTTATATTTCCTTATATGAGAAGGAGTTAGTCGAGGGTGCGGTCAAATAAATAAAAAAAATTAAAATATATAAATTATTTTAATTTTTGCCGACGTTTCGACCTACTTATTTTTGCTACTTATTTTTATTCCTACTTATTTTCCATTTATTTGTATCTTCTACATATATAATTCTTAATATTTAACTACATTGTCACCCACTATATCTCTGATACCATCTTTTATTTCTGTATCTGACAACTTCTTCGTATTTTATATATACTTGTATTTTTTTTTTTTTTTAAACATGTTTTGTATCTTTTTTAGCCCTGCAAAGTGGGTCGAAACGTCGGCAAAAATTAAAATAATTTATATATTTTAATTTTTTTTAATTTATTTGACCGCACCCACGACTAACTCCTTCTCATATTATATCAACGGTCAACCATCTCTACATCATTATATTTCCATATGATTAATATAAGAGAGATGATTAACTCTACATCATTATGATTAATATACTTACTGCAAGAAATGATTCTTTATTAAGCCTTAAAGTCGGAGCCCTGTAGGCTGTGATGTCCACCGGCCTGTTAGCCATTCTCTGTATCAGTCGAATTATATCTTTATTCGTTTTATTAACCTCGTACCATGGTGTATTATATATTTCGGAAGCCAGTTTATTAGCCTGAAAAAAAAATCATATTTCGCAGTAAACTGTTCTAAATAAATTATAAATAACATCCAGAGTATAAGTAACAAAAGTGTCTAAGATAAAACGCAGATGGAACATTATTCAACTTAATTCAATTTAATTTTGTGCATAAGAAAAAAAATCTGGTGAGCGCATCACACGACTCACACTTACAACCCTCTTAGCAGAAATCACGGGCGGATCTACGGGGGAGGGAGGCTTTCGGGCTGAAGCCCCCCCCCAAAATGGAAAAATATAACCATGTTTTATGGGAAATTTTTTTTTTTAAAAATACCTCTTAAAGTATTATTGTTCGTGTAATTACATTTAAAAGTACTTAAGGAATAACTTAAACACCATTTCATATAGGTAGTTAGTTTCTTTCTGTTTTCCCAAAGTAATTATCATTGTTTTTATGAAAAAAAAGGTTTCGGGCTGAAGCCAAATTTAATCCAAATTTAACCCCCCAAAATTAAATCCTGGATCCGCTAGTGGCAGAAATAAGTATTTTCAGACAAAGGTGGAAGTGGAAGTAAAAATTATAGACGTCCAATGGGTAGCGGATGTGGGGATGGTCGATGGAAATTCTTCGGAAGTTTCTCCCGGCTAAGTCCGATGGACTCGCGGACCAACAAGGAGAGGTGACGTAGATTTGAACGCCCTACTCACATATCTTTAGTTCATCATACACCACAAATAGTCATGAATAGATTAATATTTGCTGTACCGAATGGTAAACGTCCGAGGGGTAGACCGAAGCGAAGGTGGGAAGATTGCATTAAAGCCGATCTAAAAGAACTGGGTTTGAGCGGTGAACGGTGGAGGGAGGTGTGTAATAACCGATTGGTGGAGTCGGCATCGAACCTTCGGGTTAGCTAAGCCTTTTATTATTAATATTATATCTATTAGGATTGTCGGGCGAGCTCGAATGAGTTTGGGCACGCTCGTATTCCTTTGGTTCCTCCATTACAACTATAATTCGTAATCTCTTATTTCTCCTTTAGTTAATTATGAAATTCTTTCATATTTTATATTTAAATATTTTTTATATCAAGCATTAATGTGAAATGGTTAATTATTTCAAATTAAAAAAAAAATAAAGGTACTTTAGAGCGAGCTAATATTAAAAGCCATACAGAACATCAATGAGAATAAAGCCTACATTATATTAAAAACTGCTTAGTAAAACAGTGATATACTGAGCTTAATCAAAATAAAAGCAACAAAATCGGTTTAGTAGTTCCCGACAAAATCTTGGCACAAACAGACAGACAGACCAATGGCTAACAATAATGTGTTTATGGAACTCAAGGGGGCTCTGGAACATATAGATCCGTCGAAGACCGCATATCGGAAATTTGACCCGATCGCAATACTTTCCTTACCTAGTATAGCTAGAAATGTGAAAAAAAGAAATTGAACTTAACTCCTTTCCCGTCCGAATTCGGGCGATACCAGGAGGATCTAGGAATTCGATAGTTAAAGATTTGCCATCTTCACAAACTAATAGTTATTCATGTCAAAAATCTAATTCGAAAATTACTAAATTTATGACTTTTCCAACACCGACGATATATACAGTTTATTTATTTTCATAATATTTTATATTAGCCGTTACCTCCGCGCCGACTTCTTCGTTGGTTGAGCACTGCATGTACAATTGAAACAGATTCACGAAACAGAATGCAGATAGACCGATACTTTCCAATGATCCACTTTCATGCTGAAAATATCAAAAACTTAGTTTTAGTTATACATAAGACATATTCCATGTAGCTGTTAATTATTACCCGACTAAGCTAAGCAATACTTTGGTTTGTGTTTGTGTTTCCGCTAAAAGCTATGTAATGCTTTTTTGAGCGAACGGCTGAATCGATTTTTAAGTTAGATTGTTCAAATTATTCGGTGAGAACTCTAGAGTATTTTGAAATAATTTGGGCTAAAAGCACTGACTCATAACGGGATAAAATGTAAATATTTCATGAGCGAACGGGTGGATCGATTATTAAGTTTAATATCTTAAATTATTTGGAGAGATCTCGTGAGTGTTTTTGAAAATATTTGGTCACAAAATTCAGTAAAATTACGGAGATAAGCGTTTTTTATCAATTCGCTAAAATGTACGATTTTCTGAACGGATGTCTTGACCGATTATCGACTTTGACGGTTGTAATTACACAGTAAGATCTCTTGAATGTTTTAAAGCAATTTTTGCACAAAATACTGAAAAAAAATTGTATTATAGTATAAGTATTTCGATTATTAATTGATTTGAAATGATATGTGATCATAGCGTCCGCACTATGTTAAAGTAACGAATGAGCTTACGAGAAACAAATAGGCTCTTTTGTTTAACATAGTGCCGACGATATGTTATGAAAATAAATTGTTAATATTTTAAATTCAATAAATATTTGAAACAAATTCCATCCATCCTAAGAAAATGTACTTTCACATCTAAGTAAACATTTAGATAGGAAATTGATATCTTTGTACAGTATAAGGATTGATTAATACTATAATTTATAATAATATTTTATAATAACTTTGCTACAAAAGTTGATGGTAAAGTAAATTAAAAAAATGATATTTAAATTAATTTTCTATCATATGTATAAAGATTATTTATTTTTCTTACCTTTATCTGTGTGAATATGCCAAACACAACCATGCAAATTAGGTTAGCGTAGTAAATACAAATCACAGGTGCGTATAAAGATATAAGTTCGCTGACATTCCTATGAAATAATTTAAAAATAAGATAATATTTGTTTTCATTTTATATCTAATATCAAACTTTCATGTTTATATTCATAAAATATCTAAATATAAATAATAATACTGTATCATTAGATACATGACTCAATTATTACAATAATAATAATAAGGATTAGCGAACCAAAAGGTTCGATGCCGATACCACCAATAAATGTCCACATTCTTCCTTCTAATGGGCTTCGTATAAACCAAACCTCAACAGATCAGCCTTAACGCAATCTTCCCTACTTGGCTTAGCTCTAACCATCGGTACAGCACATATTAACTTTTTAACAATTCTTTTGTTACTAATCCCAGCGATTTTACAAGCCCATTTTATTCGCCGTCATAAACCTATGTCCTTCTGTCCTGCAGTAAGTATCCTTTAATAATAGTCCCACTTATCCCTGTTGAACAAATCCGATACCTTGGACTCCACTTAGACAAATGTCTAACTTGGAATCCTCATACCAGACTGAAAAGACAAGAAACTGCTCAACGTTTCCGAATTCTCCAGCACTTTCTAGACAAACGATCTAACTTCCAGTTCATTACAAAAGACCGTTACACATTACTACAATAAGACCTATTTGGACTTACGGAGTTGAGCTCTGGGGCTCCAATAAGCCATCAAATTCCTCTCGTATCCAATCCTTACAATCTAAAATCCTTAATGCTTTGTCACAAATAAAATCATCCATAACGACCTTAATGTACCACATGTTTAGCTCAATCCAGATACCAGATACCTCAAACCTTCCATAATAAAGTTCTGAACCATCCGAACCCTCTTGTTTTCAACCTTGTTTCTATTTTGTTTTCAACGTGCCTGTGGGACCGGAGTCCTTATCGCTGTGCAGAACAGGACTTGTCGGCCCCCACCACCTCACAGCGGCCGCCTCCATCCAGCAAGGTCAGTGGCGTCTTATCAATACCAACAGCTGTCACCGAAAGAGCCCAACCTATTTTGTTAACCTTATCCATTGTTTCATTGATTTTCTATATTCTCTCTCTGCTCTCTTATTCAAGGAAAAAAATTATATATATATACATATCAGCTTTATCAATCGATTTATTTATTAAATTTTATTTATTATTTATTCAGTGGACGTGGGTATGTGTTTTTAATTTTATTTAATTTTTTTAACAGTATATTTTAAATTGTTTTTATTCATTAACTCATTTATTAATTTATTATTATTTAAATAAGATTTTATTGATTGTATATTTTAACTTGTTCTCAATTGTTAACGTATTTATTAATCTTTTATTTTTTATTCAGAGTATATTAACTGAATATTTTAATTTGTTTTTAAAAAAATTGATTTTATAGATTTTAACTTTTTACCATTACTTATTTGATATATTTTAACTTAATTTTAAGCAATTGATTTGTATATTTTAACTTCATTTTATATTTTAGCTTAGTTTTAAGATTAAATTTAACTTTTTATAGTATAACTTGGTTTCTATTGATTTTAAATTTTAGATTATTTTACCATTATTTATTTGATATATTTTAACTTGATTTTGTGCAATAGATTCTATAGATTTTAACCTATTAATTAACCTTTTTTTTTATTATAACTTGGATTCTCTTGATTTTATATTTTAAGTTATTTTTAAGCAATTGATTTTATAGATCTCAATTGTTTTTTAGCTTTATACATTTTACATTTTAACTTTTTTTAAACATATTTATCTGATACTTAAGTTGGCATATATGCATGTCTCTCTCGTTTAGTTTTTATTTATTTATTTTTATTTATATATTAATTCTCCTTAAAATAATTTATTGTAATCATGCGTGTGGTATACATGGCCTCGAATAAATAGATTGTATTTTAAATGGACCTAAAAATAATGAAAAAAATCGAAATTGGCCAGAAAGTATGGGTTCCGAGAACAGAAGGACCTGCTCAGGAGGCTGTTGTTGCCTCTGTGATGTCTGTGGATGCCGCGGAAGGCGGCCAAAAGAAAATTGTAAAAGTCGAATGGCCAGACACAGAAGGTGTACTATTGGGAAAGACAGTTTCGATAGATGATGTCTTCCCAGCATTGCCAAATGTTCCACAGAATGTCGCAGGGGCGAGCAGAGAGCAGGAGGAAGAAGTTATACGCCCTAATAATAAAATTTGTCCCATATGTGGGCTTTCTTTTAAGGGTGAAAGAGGTCTTGGAACCCATATTGCAAAAAAGCACCCCAGGGAGGCTAACACCAATACACTGAGGGGCATAGTGAAAAATGTTATAGGTCCAAAAAATGGAGAGGGTGAGGTATCAAAAATAAAAGAGGACATTATTGGATGGTCTACCGTGTTCAAGAATCTCTTAAAAGAAAACACAATGAATATTGCGGATTTTGATGAGGCCGTAGGCCAGTTCCTGAATTTTCTCAAGAATATCAATGCGGAACTGCCAGGTCCCCAGCACCCAGCCGTTAAATTTTACAAGATGAGAAAAAAAAAAAAAACTAAAGTGGCTGATAAGGGTGCTGGACAAGTCTCGAATCCGCAAAGAGCGAACAAGGTAGACAGGAGTCGTCGGCAGGAGCAGTATCAATACGAAGTCGCACAGTATAATTATTACAATAAAAGAAAAAAAGTTGTGCAAACTGTTATGAATGCCGATGCTCCTAAGAGGTGTCCTATAAAGATGGCCGATATCGAAAAATATTATAAAGACCTCTTTGAGAGCGAAAATCTCTGCAGGCGTGCGGATTACGAGCAGTGTGCCCCGATGCCAAATTTAGTGTCCATTGATGTAGAAACCGTCAAGAAAGCCATTAAATCAACATCAATGGACACATCGCCGGGGCCTGATGGAGTTCTGATCCGCACGATTAAATATTTCGATGTTGCAAATATTATTAGAACAATTGCGGAGATAATGTTGAAGGTGGCCTATGTTCCAGAACCACTTCGACAAGGGCGCACAATACTAATATATAAGGGGAAAGGTGATGTAAACAAAATCCCTTCCTGGAGACCCATCACCATTTATTCTATTGTGCGCCGAATCATAGAGAAGGTTCTGGACCACGAATTAAGAAAACAGGTCACCTTCCACAGGAATCAGAGAGGCTTTATAAAAGGCCTCCCGGGAACGCACGTCAACGCAAGGATTATCGACGCTGTATTGAAGGATGCAAAGATTATGAAAAAAGATTGTGCGGTGGTATTCCTTGACGTTGTCGGTGCTTTTGACAATGTTGGCCACAATCATATCGTGAGCTCCTTGGAAGCAAGAGGTGTGTCGCCGGATCTTCAACACGTTATATCGGCTCTCCTCTGCACGAACACAATCAAAATTAGTAACGGTGTTCACGCAACTAGCCAAATCAAAGTGCTGCGCGGGGTACCCCAAGGCGGCCCCTTGTCGTCGTCGCTCTTCAACCTGGCCATTGACCATCTCTATCGCGACCTGTGCGATGAAGAATTTTCCAAAAAATTTGGATACAAGTTAAAAAGTGACCAAGGTTGTGTGGTCCTCACAGGTTTCGCGGATGACCAGGCCGTGTCAGCGCGTGACAAGGGGGCTGCAGAAAGAGTGATCGGCAGCGTTCAGAGGACATTTGAGGGAATTGGTTTGGCTATTAATCCTCAAAAAAGCGTGGGCATCGTTCTAAATAAAGGAGAGCTGGAAACCGCGATGCTCTCCCTTGAGAACGGAGAGTACATCCAAACAATGCAGAATGGAGATACAATCAAGTATTTAGGATGTACATTCTCGGGAGAGCTACAGTTCAACGAAGATTCGGTGACCAAATTGAACGAAAACCTGAATAAACTGGTAACCTCTCCCTTGCTGAAGCCGGAGCAGAAGCTAAACATTGTCAACCAATATCTGTTCCCGGGTCTTACTTACCCTCTCCAAACTGCGCCCCTCACAAAGCTGCGTCCTGCCGTACTTGACGGCATCGACACCATGATTCGCAGGAGTGTGAAGGCTATTGTTGGACTCCCTGCGAACACCTCCACGGCGATGTTGTACTCTCCCAGGAGGTATCGAGGATTGGGATTAATCCGCTGCCAATGGGAGGCTCCTCTACAACATTGGTCCATTGCTCAGCGACTGTCCAATGTGCCCGATGCCCTTTTTCAGTCGATCGTTGATTATTCGGCTGAGGTTGATGAATGTGCCGAGAGATTGGGGGTTGATCGGGGTATTCGGAATATGAGAGCTCTACGGCAGTCGCTTCGAGAAAATTCGTTTGAGGAATGGACCAATTGCAGGTGGCAGGGCATTGGAGTTCGCCATTTTAAAGAGACCCCGAAAGCCAATAAATACATGTATGATAAGCAAGTACTTTCTGGGTCTGAATGGTCAAATGCCCTGAAACTAAATATTAATTATGCTCCCCTGCGTGGAGTCCCAGGTGTCAGCGGACAGGTAAGAGAAGTTGGGTCCCTCTGTCGCAAATGCGACAGAGAGCCAGAAACACCAGCACATGTGCTTGGAAAATGCCCCAACAACTCCCTCCTTATAACACGCCGTCACCACAGAGTCAAGCATGAACTGATGAGGCTCCTTGAAGAGAGAGAATACGCCTGTTTCGAGGAAGTATATTGTATAGATACGGATGGATCCACCCGATATGCCGACATTGTAGCATTCTCTAAGACGGGAAAGTCGGCGATGATTTTGGATCCGACCGTGAGATATGAGACCAACGACCTCGATCAGGCAGAAAAAGTGGAAAGGGAGAAAAAACAGATATATGAGAAATGCATCCCTTTCCTTAGTGAAAAGTTCCGCGAGAGTTTCGGGCCGAGAGAATTCCACGTGAGAGGCCTTTGGTTCGGAGCTCGCGGAACGATACCAGACTCAACAAGGAGCTTCATGGAGGGCCTTGGTGTCGACATAAAGGACGTGGCAAGGTTGGCAGAGAGTATAATCCTCGACTCCCTGGGAATCATCCACCACCATGTGCATGGGAGCGGATAGGGGGAGAGTTTGCTCGCGAGGGGGAGGCATGCGTGTGTTACAGCATTTTTTTATATTATTATTTATTGAACACGTCCACTGTACTTTATGAATTTTTTATGTATCAGGTTAGAAAGAGAGAGGAGAGAATGTGAGTGGGAACATGTATAGGGGGAGAGAAGGAAGAGAAAGGGTACAGAATGATAATAAATGAATGAAAGAAATAGTAAAAATTATAAAAAAAAAAAAAAAAAAAAAAAAGGAAAAAAAAAATAATATATATATATATATACGTATAAAATATTGTATACTATGCTCATACATATTGTTAATCCTATAATTGTATAATAATTTTAAATAATGTCTGTAGTGATTAATAGGTATGCTGTGTTGTTAGCAACCCAATGTAATTGGGCAGCACCATTTTATTTATATAAAATAATTGGAGTGCTTGCAATGGGTATTTTTTCTTCATGAAGTACATGTCATGATACTTATTTCATATTTAGTAGTTGTATTTATCATTTAATATAGTTGTAAATTTTAATAATAAAAAAATAAAATGAAAATATTTTAAAAAAAATTTAATAATTAATTTCCCTAAAAGGAAAGATGACAAACTTCCGAACCATCCAAATCCTCTCGTTTCTAATCTTGCTTCCTCTTCGATCCCTGATAACACTCCAAGGCTTATGAAAATAAGATGGCCTCGAGATCTCCTTTAGTAAATACATTTTTATAGTGCTACCTCTGAGTAATTTCTCAACAAATGGTTTCATGTTATTATATTGTTGTGTTCACATTTACTGTATGTATTTTCCACAACATTTCTCCAATTCTTCTTCGGTGTATACTATTTATTTTTAAGTTACTCATTTTCAGCCATTTTACACCAATTTTCAAATTTTTTTGTCAACTTAATGACACATCTGATTACGACGTTTCGGCTCGTTGAGCCATTTTCAAGTATGAAAATAATAATAAAATTTTTTACATGAGTAGACGCATGCAATTCGCATAAGTTGAAAAGGACAGGTACATGATTGGTATTTTAGGTATTTAAAATGAATCTCTATATGTTGAAGTATGTAATGTTTTAAATATGACTGTAAATTGTAAAAAAATTTTAGACTTGAAAATGGCTCAACGAGCTGAAACGTCGTAATCAGATGTGTAGTCATTAAGTTGACAAAAAAAAATTGAAAATTGGTGTAAAATGGCTGAAAATAAGTAACTTAAAAATGAATGTATTTTTATTTGTAATACAGCTGTAAATATCATAAATAAAATTAAAAAAAAAAATTATTTGCCAAAACTTAATCATCTCAATTATATTAACCGGATAATGTTCATTCGATTCAGCATTGTGTAACCACCTAAATTCTCCACTCGACTCGTCCTTTTTCTGTTCGAATATTCTGCGCATTATTTTATTTTAAAAAACCTTAAGACGATACTCATCCCCTAATGTAATCGGCTAAGTTTCGCGATTATGAAGAACCGTAGGTATGATAATGGTTTTTTAAATTCTATTTTTTAAGTTTCGGGACAGGAGGCGAGAACTAAGTATTAAGAACTGATTACTAAGTTGAACAGTAGGATTGTCATATCGTGTCGTGACGGATCTAATGTAACCAAAGCCTAAGGCATGAAATGAAAGGGAATTTGATGGAGATGCGAAGAACAATAATCACATCCTCCCGAAAGTTCTAAGAAAAAAGTTATAAAAATTAAAATATTTCGAAGATTCACTCACCTTACTAAGTTGTCATGCAACTTCAACCAAGTTATCAGTTTCCTTTTCACAACCGCATCATCGTATTTCCCAAACTCTTTTCCCAGACTTCTCATAGAAGCCGATAGGTACTTCAAGTAGACCGTATGGATTCTGAATACTGTCAGAAAAAAACAATCGTTTGCGAACTTCTTCATATCACCATAGAGGATACCCAGCATCTGCAGGAAAAAGGTGATCTCGTAGATTCCTGGGCTGTGATCGTCGTACGGATAGCTGATCGTGAGAGGATGGTGTCGCCGGTATTCTCCGTTACAGAGATCTATGATAGGAGTCGGCACGCAGTAGATGACGGGTGTCCAGAACACGAAGAACAGGACGTTCCTTGTGAACTTGTTGTTACTGTTGGAAACTTGAAGGTATGTATCTTTGAAAAAGTCGGAATGGTCCAATTCAGCGTTCATTATGTTGTAATTCAAAGCATTACAGTTTTCAGAAAACATTTTCAACCTTTCTTTAAATAGCATGTAATACAAAGTTAGCATAGTCGAATTTACTACAATGCTCAGCACTACAGCAATTCTGCATCGCTCCTGTAATATAACATAAATATACTGTTGCAATTTTCAAAATAAATTATATTAACTAGTATAATTCAGTGGAAACTCTTATCATACAGGGTTTTTCAGGGTGGCCAAAGTGGTCAATCTGTAAAAATGAACTAAGGACCTCAAAACAAGAAACAAATTTCCTCTGAAGGTATACTCGCAAACGCTTTGTTTAGAAGATATTCACACCTAGAGATTTTCATTGTTATGAATTATTTTTATTTATTATAAATGAGGATATAGAACTGAATCCACGAGAGCATGCTGACATAAGGGTCAGAAACTTGGACCAGAAAAAACAACCTCAGGAAGAAACTTCTAGCCACCGAAACGTACTACTGGAGAAGAGCGGTGGGAATATTCAGAATGGATAAAGTCAGAAATACGACCATAAGAGAAAATATGGAGGCTAAAATAAGCATTCTGGAAGAGACAGAAAAAACACCTGAAGTGGTTATGGACATTTGAAAAGAATGCCTAAAGGAAGACTACCCAAAGAAGTCCACTTATGTAAAACTAGAGGAAGAAGAAGACTAGGAAGAGCAAGGAAGATCTGAGAAAACGAAGTGGAGGAATCCATGATGGGTCATGGTCTACAGGAAGAATGGACCTTAGATAGAAAATTATGGAAAGATTCCATCCAAGCACTTTAGGTTAAGGAAATCCACTATTAGTGGAAACTCTAAAAGTGAATTATTTTATAATAATTTATTCTGGGACGAGTTCCTTTAGAATAATACAGAAATGTGGGCTAAGAGGCCTCAGAGATACATAAACAAAAATACAGAGTAATTAAATAGCCATTATAAAAAAAAATATATAAGTTACTATCTAATTTTAATCAGTTAATAATAAAAAATTGAAAAAGATAATTAAGAACGATCCAAGAATTTATGTAAGTATTTACAGTAGAATCTATTTACAATTTTATGGGGACTGGATGGATAAGAAATGATTGAACAGGCAGGATTAAAGGTAGGAAGGGTATTGGATTGACGGATGTGGGAAGGGATGGAATTCCAAAGGAATGAGGATCGGATAATGAAAGATCTGTCGAAAGCAGCGATTCGGTGGGCCCTTGTGCATAAATCAGAAGACCAGGAACGAGTATTGCGGGAACGAACAGAAGATTTGAATTGAAGAAGCTCGGAGATGTATGAAGGACGGCAGGATTGGATGACTTGAACGATGAAGGATGCCAGGAAACACAACGATAGGAAGGATAATTACGTTATATTTAATAAATAAAACTTATTTATTTGTTCCAACTACATTATTAATTAAATATAAATATTAAATTCATATTAAATGTTGTTACAAGTGACTTCCTTGAGCATTAAGACTTGCTCGGCATCTTTCTTCAACAGCAGCAGTGGCAGAACGGCACTGCATATATGTTGTTATTTCACAAGATTCAATTATCCTTCTTCTTAACGAATTAAAGTCATTGACCGTACTTGTATAGACTTTTTGTTTAATGTCACCACAAACTAAAAAATCCAGTCAGGTCTGGAGAGCGTGCAGGCCAAGCCCCTGATTGGGATGACTAAAACTTAATTAATATTAATGTTTACATTTAATTAATCAAGTAATTAGAACTAATAAATAGGTTTTGTTTATTTCATATAACGTAAACAATTCATAACAACGAAAATCTTTAGGTGTGAATATCTCCTAAACAAAGCGTTTACGGACATACCTTCATAGGAATTTTGTTTTTCTTGCTTTAAGGTTCTGAGTTTATTTTTGCAGTTTGGCCACTTAAACCTGAAACACCCTATATAGTTATTCATTCAAATATAAGCGAAATATGCAAAAGATGTTCATTCCCATAAACAACACATCATTAGCATAGTCTATTCGACACACACAACTGGGGAAGTTTCATACATTAGTAATGGTGTTAAATAAACAATTGAAAACCCCTTGAAAAATATCTTTCCAGGTTAATAGTTGCGCTATGAAGCACAACTATCGATGAATTTATACAGATCCATTATATGAATTGATAGCTATTAATGAAGCTGTCTGTCTGTAGAATCTTTCTATTGTCAATGAAAACTGGAGGATAAGTTTTATGTTGAACAGTAAACGTTATGTGATGATATTTGGTAGGATTTACCATAATATAAAGGAATCATGTAATTTTGTTAAATGTTGCTGTAGGATTTTTGTTTCTGCTAAAATTGTGTCATACGACACTGATAAAATTAAATCAAAGATAGTATCTTTGTGATTGTAAGGTTTATTGTTATATTTTTTTTTAAAGTCTTGTAATAGTTGTAAAATGTATTTGTATCAACATTTTCATTCACGTCGCACCTTTACAACTTTGTTTTTTATTTTTAAATTACATTATTTAAATTTTGTTCAAACGTTTTAATTAATTTTATTTCTCCCATAAAAATTCTTCGTACTTCATTTTTTCATCGCCGATAGTGTAGGTGCAAGCCTTACCATTGTTGTGGAGGGAAAACAGAACTCTACGAGATCCCTATATTCTCTTCAAGTTCTTCATCTCTTAAATGCATCACTGGTATTAGAAACCAATAGAGGCTCAGTGCTACAGCCGCAGATATATATAATTAATAAAATAGTAATTAAATAATAAGTGAACTAAAACATGATATATCTTTATTCCCAATAACATTTACCTAAACCTATCTACCACTGACTATATTGGTTATACTATATTGGCTTTAAGTTAATAAACGTTTATTCTAACACTATATTGGCTATAGAATATAGACTAAGTAGTCTTGAAACTATGTTTATAGGCTATAGACTAGACCATAAACCATAGGCTATAGACTATATTGTCTATTGGTTTTATACTAACCTGATATAGTGAACTAAAAAATAAATCTTGTATTAATAAAAATTTAATAATAATAAATATAGTAGGAACTATGAAGTGATCGAGACATCTGAAGAGTTAATTGTCGCTTATGACATTGAATAAATAATGTTTTCCAAAACACTGTAAAAGGATTTTTAAATACCTAAATACGAAAATAAAACACTTGAAAATCAAGTACCACTTCACATAGTTCCCAACATTGCATTAAGAATATGCATTTTCTTGTCGCTAATATCTCACAATTAAAAACCAGTTTTTTTTCATATATATATATATATATATATATATATATATATATATATATATATATATATATATATATATATATATTTTAAAACCACACACACACACACACAAACATATATAAATAAAATAGTATTAATAGAAAGATCACAAAGAACGTATTTCCATACTTTCAAAATTGAAGAATTAAAACCATTTTATTTTTTATTTCATTGCTATATTTTTAGGTTCCTTAATCAGTTGGAGCATACGGAAATAGCACTTACTTTTTATGTATTTTTGTACTTTATTTTTATTTAAAATATTGCAAACGTACTATTTCTCCTCCTGAAAAACATATTTTTTGTATTTTTTTTGAATTTTTTTTTGTGGTTTTTAAAGTTTCACAGATTTTTTTCCTTGTGCAATGTTCCTCAATACTGGTTGGATAATGCCGAATATCGCATTTCGATCTGTATCAGTAATATCACTAAATTTTCCCAATATTAAAATAAAACTAAACATTTAACTTGGTATAGTTTGATTTATATCTTGGAAATAGACATTTACCCTATGAGAAAGTATGTGCAAATTAAAGTTACCGGTCTGTAAAATTTACTTTATTTTATGTCTAATTATGAATTACATAAATTGTTTATATCTATTTAAAATATCTAAAAAAAAGATATTATAATTTATTTTTATTTACATTATTAATAGTTTAATGCTGTTGTTTCTTGTTGAGGCTTTAATTCGTAAAACCTCAAGATTATCAACGCCTATCAAAACTTACTGTAACAAATTCATTTTTTTTTTTTTCATAAAATAAAATTTCTTTCTATTAGTCTTTAATAGAGTTAAAAACTTTTAAAAATAAGATAATCAGTTTTCAGTTTTAAAAACTTGATTTGTCACATTTTGACACTCTTGATGATATGACTGGACTGTGTTTCTATGATTACTATAATTATTGCATTATTATATCGCTACTGATAGTACAAAAGGTCGTATGTAAAAATTGTATTTTTTTATAGAAAATCATAAGAACTGATTATTTCTTTATGATTTATTACTATAATTTCATATTTTATTTCCCTCTACCGTTGACCTATTTATCAGAATAATTATAGCAGTTGCTAACTACAAAATATCACCTTTAGTAAAAATGGAATAAACATGAAAAATTGTTACATTGCACCTTTTGCATCAATAGTAGCGGTAAGCTTTTTAACACCAATATAATATTTTATTTATAATTGGAGAAATATTTTTAACTGTTATATCTTTTTCTATAGTTTTCACTAAATATTTAGATTGGTATCCTTGTTGAGTGTGTTTAATGTTTGTTTCAACCTCCAGGCGCGCCTATATTTGTTTTTGCTAGTGATTAACGTTCTCATTCCCTGCTGTTTAAATTATAATTCACAATTTGGTATATTCATATGTATTTATACAATTTATATTATATTATACTAGTAGGCCCGTACGAAAAATTCGCACAGCATATTGTTATCAAATGCCAAATTAATAAGAAAATAAGAAAACGCAACTTATCAAAAGATTAAGACATCAAATGTTACTTTATCGATAAATAAAACAACAAAGCAAACAACAATTATTTTAAATCTTCATTTTTGTTTGGAACCAACATGTATACAAATTTCAGTAAGCTGTATATTTGCTAAAAATTGTCCGATTGCGATGATTTTTTTTTCCTTTTGTAGGGAATTTAGTAATCTTTTATGTAATTATGGGCATAACCAAGCGAAAAGTGTGTAATTTTTCAGTTATTCGCAAATAAAGTTTATTTTCTTTCATAACCTGTTTGTCTGAATTTTCTGGATGATTGAACTAT